CCCCAAAACCCCAAAACCCCAAAACCCCAAAACCCCTTTGAGGATTGGCAAGTTGAAATAGTTTAAATTTATAAAAATATTAAGCTTCAGAGCGATTTCTTTCGGGAGTGGAGTGTTCAGCATTTTCGGAACCTCGATTCGGGCTATCAAGGGGTTCGAAAGCTTGTATTCGGTTATTCTCTTCGGGAGGGACAGCCCATTGTTCTTCAGGAGGGTCAGATTCTTCATCAAGTTCTGATTTTCTTTCTTCAATCCTGTTTGATCCTTCAGAATCGTCTCCCTCATTACCGAGGGTGAGATTCATCATTCTTGCTCTGGTTTGGCGTAGAGATTTCTTTTTCTTAAGAGGTTCCTTCTTCTTGTCTTTCTAAAGATATCTCTTAGTTTTGGAATGATATTTAAATTAGGATTTCTTAAAATCAAAGTTGAACATTTTGAAAGAAATTAAAGAAAATTACCTTATTATTCAAACTAGTATCAATAGAGTGTCCTGTTCCTTGAATAGAGCGGTCTCGTAAAGAGTTAGTTATAGAATCATGAATTCCAGGGTTGCTTATCATAGGAGAAGGATTCGTGGTTTGGTTATTAGCAATAATACCAAGCTCAGTCTGTAAATTTAACCTAGCAGAAGTTCCTCTATCCTCATCTCCTCTCTCAGAATTATTTTCAGAAGTGTTCATTCTTCTTGGCGCTAGAATTCTTCTATCTATACCTTCCAAGTTCATTTCTTGAATATTCTGGCTTGCTTGGTCCAAAGTAACTTCAAGATCTGAGTTTCTCCTTTGAGCTTGAGTATTGGTTTGATTCGGACCAAGAGGTTGACTAGTTTCTATGTTTGTATCTCTTACGGTATTAAACATCATTGCAGTTTCACGTTGATTATTCTCAACAGATGAAGTATCTTCACTATCTTTTTCATAGTTCTTAATCTCATCCTCTCTGATCTTCTGAAGATCGTCAAACCTTGTTGGGAAGTTTTGAAGACCTAGTTTCACAGATTGATTTTCTAGAAAATCAAGTAAACCTTTGGGTAAATAGGGACAGTCTTCTTCATAAGTTGGTTCTAGGCCTATCTCACTTTCGTTGTCAGATACTCTTTCATCTCTATAAGGTTTTATTTTTGCTGCAAATCTCCCTAGCTGGAGGTTAAGTTCAAAAGACCTTCGCTTAGGGACAGCCACAGGATCTCTAAGGTAGATAAGAGTTCCAAATTTAGCTGCCTCATCTCTGACGTAATAATCTCCTTCGGAATACGTAATAGAGGAATGGATTCGAGAAACACTGATGTCAGTGATTCTGACAGCTGCTTCATTAGATCTTCCCACACAATACTCAATGTCAGCATTGTAAGGATTATTTCTTTTATTACTCACAAGAACATGAATTGTTTTGTGTGGAGTGTTGGTGTATGATTCAAGAATCATATAGCATCCACTGTCTGGTCTGAGATAATCCAAGACATAGGTTTCCTTACCATTGATTATATAATTATCCTTTAAGCGCATTCCTCATAATTCTCAAACAAGGTTTTTCCAGTTATATGAAAAAGTGAATTCAGTGAGCTTTGTATGTATTTTACTATCTAGCCATTTATTTTAAACAATCGAGATGTATGTATTGCAGAGTTCCGGTACATTTTCAAGGAGAGATAAGAGGATTTTCTTCAATCTCTTCATCCTCTTCCTCGCCAAGTCAAATTCTTCACTGAGCCTCTTTCCGAATTTTGTTAAAATCTTTATCCCCTTCTGTGTCTCTTATTTTGGCAATTTTCTCATGAATATTTTCCTGAATGCTCTCTCCATCAATAGAATTATAGGGAGAGATGTTAGAATCGATACTTTTTGACCTAGAGAGCTGTTCTGTTCTACGGCTGACTCTATTAGTTAACCTATTTAGCAATCTCTCATTCATACTCACGTCGAATTGAGAGTTATATTTAATGATCCTTTCTTGTTCGATTTTGTTAAGCTTGCAATTCCCTAACTTATTTAATTTTGAACCGCACTCTGCCAAACTTGACAATATCGCCTTCAGCAAGTCTATAACCAAGGTATTTATTGTACCTTCCTGGGAAAACGGCTGGAACAGCATTTCGAAGGGAGATCCAGACTTGATCAACAGGGTTCTTTAATTTTTCTTCTTCAGTGAAATCCTGAGAGTGGTACACCCAATATTTTCCATTCTTGAAGGTAGCGATAAAAAGGGTTTTTATCTTCTCAACAATAGCGTCTCGAGGGGCCACTCCGTCAACTCTGGTATCATAATCATTAACAATAGAACAGGTATTGTTGATCCTGAGGAACTGCTCTTCCAGGCTATTATTGTCATAGTCATAAAGACCATGAGTTTCCCTTGCCCATCAACGAATGCTGATATCTAATGAGTAGTAAGGCCTGTCTGTAATCTTGTCATCTTCAGTGTCAAGTCAGCAACCCATGTTTATTATGTTAATTCTTTCAAAAATTACAATTGTTATGGGGTTTTGGGGTTTTGGGGTTTTGGGGTTTTGGGG